AGACTGGATTCATACCCCGCCCTTCACTACCTAGAGGTGTCTCAGAGTGGCATACAAACTCCTTTCCCTTCCCCTCCCCACAAAAGGCACCCTGTGAGGTGGGTGGGCCTGAGAGAGCTCTTGACAGAAACTGCTCTTTTTTAAGGACAGCTCTTATCAAAACTATGGCTTGCCCAAGGTCATCCAGCCAGGTGCAAGTGGAGGAGTGGGGAATCAAACCCGGTTCTCCCAGATTAGAGTCCGCTCACGTAACCACGACACCAAACTGGCCTCCCCTCCCCCAGCTCTGCTTCTGTCTTCCCCTGGAAAGTGGATCATAAAAGCAGATGCATGCAAATGGCAAAGCTTTCAATCCTGATCTCTGCCGCCGCCCCCCTGTTTCCAAGCTAGGGTTGCCAGCCTCCAGGTGGGGCCTGGGGATCTCCCGCTTTTGCAACTGACCTCCAGCTGACAGAGATCAGCTCCCCTGGAGAAAACGGCTGCTTGGAAGGGTAGTTGCCGTGGCATTGGACCACGATGGGGCCCCTCCCCTCCCCAAGCCCCGCCCTCTCCTGGCTCCACCCCCAAAGCCTCCAGGTATTTTTCAACCCAGGCCTGGCAACTTCCAAGCCGCTTCTGGGAAGGGTGAGGTGGACAGAGAGGTGGGGTGTGTGTGTGCTTCGGCTCCTCCCACCAGTCCCCCTTCCCCTGCAACTCTCTGTAGCCAGTTCTTCTCTCCGTGAGAACACAAATGCAGAGTTATCCTCGCAAACACATATCTGGGACCCTGTAGTGGAGGAAATACTGGGGGGGGGGGCAAATGGTGTGTGGGGAGAGGGTCAGGCACCTCCAGAATGGTGTATTGGTTAAGAGTGGTGGACTCTAATCTGGGAGAACTGGATTTGATTCCCCACTCCTCCACATGCAGCCAGTTGGGTGGCCTTGGGCCCGTCACAGTTTTCTCAGAGCTGTTCTCTCAAGAGCAGTTCTCTCAAGAGCAGTTCTCTCAAGAGCAACTCTCTCAGAGCTCTCTCAGAAGAGAAGAGGAAGAGAAGAGATTGGATTTATACCCCACCCTTCACTACCCAAAGGGGTCCCAGAGCAGCTTACCCTCTCCTTTCCC